CTTCCCTTGATCAACAGGGTGGGCTACCTTGTCATAAAAGCAAGTTAAGTTTGTGAAGCAGGACTTCTCCCTCATGAGGAGGGCTGGCTGTGACTGATGACTGTGTTGTCCTGCAGGTGTTTTTTAATAACTCCAAGAATAATTTTATCCATAATTTTACCAGGCACTGAAGTGAGAATGACAGGTCTGTAGCTCCTAGGGTCATCATTCTTACCCTTCTTGAAAATTGGAACAACGTTTGCCAGCTTCCAGTCAACTGGGACCTCTCCATATCCCCAAGAGTATTCAAAAATCTTTGAGAGAGTTCTCAAACCCCCTGCCATGGGAAGGGACACCTTCAGGTTGACCAGGCAGGTTTCTTGAAGCATCATATATAGCATATGAGTGGGTTAGCCATTCTGGCCTGACTGCCTCACAGTGACCTGTACTGATACAGGTTTGGCTGCCCGTTGGGAAGCAGAACCTGCAGTGAAGCACTTCCAGGGAAAGCTCCAAGATGCAAGAACACCAGGGCTGAAACACAGCAACTGCTGGGCATGGAGAGGTGTTTGCCTAAAATGTCTAAGCTGTGCTTTATTTTGTGCCTTTTCAAAATCTTTGTAGCCATAAAGGCAAATGACATTGCAAAGTCTCTGTTGTATTCCTATTTTTCAGTTGTAGGAAAATTTTGGTGACCATATGTTTCAGTGCCCATCAGGGCTATACTCTCCAATTTTAAACAACCAAGGTAAGAAAGTCTAGCTAAATGTTGAAAGATCTTTGAAAGCATGAGCTATTCTCTTTATTTGAATACTTATAATTATGGGCCTTGCTCTGTGGCAACTTTTCAGTATTTCTGTCCACAAGAGCCACATAAAAAAGTAAACTGAGTTTGCAGAAAAGTCAGCTCTGAAAGCACCTACTAGCTTCTAGTAGAGTGCTTAAGCAGCTGCTGTAGCATTTAAAAACTCTGCACTAATGGTGCTTCATGTAACTTGGAGGTTATATGCCTGGAGGCCAGCTAGACCAGGCCACCTTTCCTTCACCTTGCCTGTAGGAAATCTCAATATACCACTGTATAATAGGCAGAAGAAAGAGAGATTAGAGAATTACATGTAGAGAGATGTCTAAGAGATAATTTATAACTTATTTTACAATCATTCCTGGTTGCAAGGTTTTGCATTCCTGAAGAGCTAGGAAGAAACTTCAAAATTATCATTCTGCTTTGCTTGGCATCTCAAGAAATCAGAGAACTGCTGGCCTACAAATTGCTCCACTTGTACTTGCTCCCATGTAACCTTAATTAATGCAGTGGTAACATGCCTCAGATAGCTAATACAGTGAACAGGAGATCCACGAGTATAGCAGGAGACCTTGATTTAGTGCCTCGTTTGATTAATCTACTTGACTAATCTTATCTGAGACTGATATCTCACGGTCTTTGCTTCTCTGCAAATAACACAGGGAAGTTTGTCCATGGCAGAATTAGTCTTTCACTATATGCTTGCCCAGGGAGCACTAAGGAGACAGGAACTGAAAATAATGGGAGCACCACATATGCTTTTGCACAGGTCCTGAGAAGCAATACATCTGGGGGACTGAGGTCTCTAAGCATGTTCAAGGTTGTAATGAAAAATTATGTGCTACAAGTCCAATTCTTAAATCTCCCAGCTGTGTGAGCACTTTGTGTGGTGATTTTCCTGGAAAATTATTTGATTTCATATTTAAAATGGAGACTTCATGGAGCTGTGTGAAAATGCTAGAGAAACAGTTCCAAAAAAATAAATTACCATTCTGCTATAACTGAATTTTCCTAATTAGGTTTCTGTGTTTAGGATCAATATATTCAGCAAAAGATGGTGTAGGTCTCTCTGTCATATGGAAGTGCAGTAGTACCACTAGATGGTAGCCTTGCTTGTTTCAGTCACCTCTTTCCTACTTCTCGCTGCAGTGAAAGAAACTAGTTTCTCGAGATGGGATCATTGCATACTGTAACTATCCCCCTACACGGACTAACCCGTAATTTAAAAGGTGGTATAAAGAAAAAAAGCAGAGGGAGAAACTAGGAAATTCTCCTGAGAGTGCACACTGAGGCACAGCCAGTCCTGACGCAGGGCCTGCAGACCCCTGCAGCACCACGGGTCAGCTGCAGAGGGTTACTTGCCTATGGACTGTCATTCCTTGTTCCTAAGTTGGATAGACTTCAACCAAAACAAATTTGCAGTTCCCACACAGAAACAGCAAGACGATAATGAAATTCTTTTGGTATGAGCTGATAATATAGAAAAGTCTCTTTTTTCTCCATGTGTTGTTCATAAATACTATTTCACAAAATGTTTGTGTCTTAAGTCCAGAGCACAAGGTGCTCAGTATTCAATTCCTCAAGGCCACAACTGTAGGAACTGTTTCAATCAAGTGGAAAAGTTAACACAATGGGCTGCTTTAAACCAAGAGCTGGACTTTGATTATCTTTGTGGGTTCCTTGCAACTCAGGATATTGTATGATTCTATAAAGTACTTGATGAGACTTGCTGAGCCTAGGTAAGCAGTGTAGTGTATCCACCTGGAAATGTTTCCAAGAAATGGATGTACTGAGCGGCTGTCCATTTAGGATATGAAATTCCTTATTTAGATTCCCCAACACTTCATTTTTATGACTCTGCTTACTACACTGCAATCCAAAGTGCATTATATAGACTATGTAACTAAATGTTAATCATAATTCTAACCGCATAGTGAAAACCACAATGCAGTGTTATTACAGTTCTCATTAAAGGAACATGAATTTCTGAGTATCTTGCCTGAACATTTCTGTCAGAGAAATATATTAATAGGTTATTCACTAATAATCTTGGTAACCCAATAGTTGTCTTTTATCTCTTCAGTAGATATAGTGCATATTCAAGGGAAAGTTCTATTCTAGTATGCTGTCAAAGCATAAAAGCTTTCCCTCCTCCTGGATGATGTGCTTTGTTGAAGAGGGAAGCACTCTGTTTCGAATTTGATCAATCACCTTTGGATGTCTCAGGAGGTCATCAGTCCTTCTTGATCATGATGACATGTTTTTATTACAGATCATTATAACTATTTGAAGTCTTTTTTGGACCATCATCATAGTTTTGAACCTAAAAATATCAATTAAAATGTGAGTTTTAGCTTATAAAAGTGTTGGTTTTTTAGAACAAAGTAGAAGATTAAATCATGTCCCATTTTAAGAAAAATGGAAAAATGTGGGTACAACTACACACAAAACCAATACATTTAAGAGTAAGTTAAGTAATATATATAAGAGTAAGTATTTAAGTATAATTTCCAAGTGTTTTGCTCTGAATTATTACATCTTTGCCTAATCATCGTACATCTTCAATTTGTATTTTCTTTTTGTTCATCATTGTAGTGCTTATAATTACAAATATTTTTTCTCTTCTTTAGGCTGCTGGGTGTCAATATGATCTTCTAAGACCATAAAATATTTCTAATTAAAGATGCTATATTCCTATTCATCTTAATGATTCCTTTAATTGTTCTCAGTTCATGAGTGTTCTGATGTTCTCAGGAGCAGAGTTGTAAAGCCAGGGAACAAAATATTGAAGAAGCTTCTGGAATGCATAGGAAAAATCATCTTTTGCAGATAAACATATTTGCCATTATAAATTGTGTGATAAATTTTAAAGTAGACTTGGGTACCTCAATAGGATTACTAAATATGTTTTAATTTAGGAGAAAATGAGACTGCCCATTTTATTATTGTAATAGACTTCTTTGATTTCCTTGTACCTCTTTGGTCACTGCAATATAACACTATTTTACTGCTGATTGTTTTACATCTGCTGTTCCAGAGACTTCCTAAGATTGTTAGAAGGTATAGCAGTAAAAGATCTGTTAGCATTTACATGCTTTCCACAGAACTATCACCCCATGTTGAATATTTGCTTTAGCAATGAGCAGTTTCTTCCTCTGTAATCTTAAAAACCTATCTTGACAGAACAGACAATATCCTCCATATTTGGAAGGCTTTAAACAGAAATATCTTCCTATGGGTGTGTTCTTTTAAGCCTCACTACTAACTGTCCAGGACATTGCTGTGATTCTCTACTCATCCATCTCGAAATGTGCCTAAGGATTTACTCTCAACCTTAACCCTGTAGTACTACAAGCAGATTAGAGAAGTGAAGTCTCCTGGACTGGTCCTTTACTTGGTTGTTTTCCGCACATGGGAACACCCCATTTCTTTCCACTCACACTGTTTACCTGAGTTTTGAGATGCACCGGAGCACCGCTGCCTGGAGCACTATGCTGGTCTCAAGCACACTCCATTAGTCCGTGACTAGAGGGGTTTGCTAATGTTTACCAGTCACGTGAGTGTTTAACTGACCCCCATGTTTCTACCTGGAGTCCATATCCAGTGTGAGAACCCATTCTTAGAGTCACAGAAATAATACAATTGTTAAGGTTGAAAAAGACCTCTAAGATCATGAAGTCCAGCCATTACCCTGACACTGCTAAGAATACAACTATACCATGTCCCCAAGTACTACATCTAGCCATTCCTTTAAGTACCTCCAGGAATGGTGATCCTACTACTTTCCTGGGCAGCTATTCCAATGCCTGACCGCACTTTTAGTGAAGAAATTTTTCTTAATGTCCAATATAAACCTCCCATGGTGCAACTTGAGGCTGTTTCCTCTTGTTCTATTGCTTTTTACCTGGGAGAAGAGACCAGCGTCCTCCTGTCTACAACCTCCTTTCAGATAGCTGTAGAAAGCGATAAGGTCTTCTAGATGAGCTTCCAAACCTTCTTGGCTGTCTACCTCTCGGGCTCTCATTACTGCTGGAGGAGCGCTGGAATACAGCAGGTGACATTTTGGGAGTGTAATTGCCACTGCCTCATTTTGATATGGGCATTACTACATTTGCCAAACATAAGCCAGACCTCTAAGGAGAAAAAACGATTTTTTTTTCTTTTTTTTTTCTTTTTTTTTTACAGGGATAAACCTGCCTCACACACAATCCCTACTCCTTCACAGACGGACATCTGCTCTGGAGGGTGCCAGTGAGATGTTGACTAAGAGCCCCCCAATGCTGCTCCGCCGAAGGACCTCGTCCGTGGGGTCAGGCGGGGCGGGAGCCGGGTTTGGGGAGGGTGAGGCGGGGGTGGAGCGGGGGCTGGCAGCGGGCACACCCACCACACGGCTCCGCAGCGCTCGCCCCGCCCGGCCGGCCCCCTGCGGGCCGCGGCTCTGGGCGGCGGCCGGGGCGGAGGGAGAGGAGGGGCGGCCGCGGCCGGCGGCCGGAATCGTTTCCTGGGTAAGCGCAGCGGGCTGGGAAGCGTTTCCGGAAGGCTGGCCGCATCCCGCAGCGGTGCGGGCGCCTCCGGTGCGGGCGGCGGAGCGCAGCGGAGCGGCGGGCAGGTGCGCTCGGCGGCGGGCCGGGAGGGGGGGCGGCGGGCCGGGAGGGGGGGCGGAGGGCAGCGCAGCGCAGCGCAGCGCGTCCCGCGGCGGAGCCCTCGGTGCGCGGCCGCCCGTGGTGCCGCCGCCCCGGCCCTCTGCCCCAGGGAGCGGGCAGGAGGCTGGGGGAGGGTCCCGCCGCCCTCGCCCAGGGCGATTCCGGCGCATCCCGGCCTCAGGGGTGCGGGGCGGGGGGCGGCCGGCGGATCGCTGCCTTCCCCCGGCGTGCCGGAGCGCTGCGGTGCTGCCGCTGCTGCTGCAGAGCTGGCCCCAGCCTGGGGCGAGCGTGGGCTCTGCGCCCGCGGGCGGCCAATAGCAGCGGCAGCCGGTCTGCTTCTGGTGGTGGCGGTGCGGTAAAAAATCCTGAAAAGTGTCAGAAGTGCCTGCAGAAGTACCTTTTCTTAAAAAAAAAAAAATATTATTGTTTGAATGAGCTTTGCGAGTTCAGCTCTGTGATTAAATCGTAGTCGAGGGTTGCAAATGGGAGCGTGCGAAAAATACAGTCCTCGGAATAAAACATGGACCCCATGAATCCCACTTGGAAGTTCTCAGGAATTTGCTTGGGTCCCAAGGCAGCGACGGAGCTACTTCTGCTTGCAGCTAGAGAGAGGCTGAATTCAGACAGATAAAATGGAAAGTGTAGTGGTTTGTATTTGTACTTCATTGCTTTGCCTGCTTCTTTGCAATGTTTTATAATTCTTGGATGGGCTTCTGCGTGCTGGGAAGGATAAGTATAGTTCTTGGCTTTAAACTCAGAATAACTAAAACGAAGCAAAAAATCCAACCCCGAAGTGGTGATGGGCTTGTAGGCTTTTTGCGTTGTGGATGCTGTTGGTAGCTGTACATGGTAAATGCTGTCTGCAGTCAGTTGTGCAGGATGACAGTATCCGCAGCAAGTTTCAGTGCTTCACTAAAGGTCTGCTGCGTTGCCCCATAAGCTGAGGTATGGGTTGCTGCTGAGCTGCTGCAGCTTTGCTGTCCTCTAGCTCGACTGTGTGTTCCTCTTGTTCATTCTAGATCTGACATGTCATCGTCCTGCCGTCTCACGCTCTAGTATATTCTGAAAGACTGAATGAGCTGTCTGCCTTGTGTTTAAAACTACTTTCTGCCTGAATAATTGCATTTACTTAAAATAAGTGTGCAGATGTCCTAGCACTTAAAGAGAGAGACATCCTCTCATGGTGACCTTGGGACAAAATCTTGGCTGATTAATTTCCTTGCCTGGAACAGTCATGTGGAGTGTGGGTATTTTTGTTCTTCCTTTATTTTACAGAAATGAGTGTTTGATGGAATACTTTTTGGCTTATATTTTTGGGGGATTTTTTGCCACCTAAGGGAAAATTGAGGTCTGGAGAGGGCTCTTTGGGATGAAGAATCATTTTGTCATGTGTTAGGAAGAATACATAACTTGGTTGTTACAAGGAGGAAGATTCTTGGCTCTGAAGCAGCATGAGTGAATGTGCCTTTCCCAGCAAAAGAGTCATTTAAGCAGTAGATTACAGCTGTGGGAATCATTTGCTGGGAGATGGAATGCATGACTTGGAAACCTGTACTGTTTCTTTTGGTTTTCAGGTCTGCAGCTATGTTGTGAACCAGTGACAAAACTGGTCATTTTTGGTATGGTGTTGAGTAGGCTCTGCTGTGCTCTTCTTCAGGAGGGATGGGGACTTTCTGAGGATATACCTGAGGAGCCTACAAAGGGCTGCTGCGGGGTTTGAGTTGAAGAGAGCAGTTACTTCAGGAGCTAGATAAGGGGGAATTTGAATACTTAGATTTCCTACTGTAAGGATTTTTTAGCAGCGATTGTGAAAAACTAAAATAAATCCTGGTAGTTGGTAGGTAATGGTGAGCAATCAACCGATTACATCTTCATGAGGTAGCAAGCTCTGAGCTAGGATGTGTGTGGTCACACTTGAACAAATCATCCATGTTTAAGGCAAATGGTACTATATTCTACGTGCTGGTGGAAGACCAAGTCTTGCCTTTGTTCCCTGCTGCAAGCAAGGAGCTCCATTACTGAGAATGGTAGAGCAGGGCATGTGCTGGGTGCATTGGATCATTGCTGACCAAGCTGCTGCTGCCATGGAGAAAGTAAAGGTAATGGTAGAGTGTGTTTGGCCAGGGCATTGGCAGGAGGAAGAGTGGGATGGCTGTGAGCTCCTGGGGAATGCCAGGCACAGGTTCTCTCACCTGTGCTGTGGGTGGGACAGGTGCAGACTGAGGCTGGAGAACAGAAATGCCTGCTATTCCATAGGAGATGAGGAAAGCCTGGCTTGTTTAGCCTGGCAAATGAGGCCTGAGAGGGAATATGATTGCACTCTGTAAATACAGTAGGGATATAAACACTAGAAAGGGCGAGGAGCTATTTAATCTAAGGAACAATGTTGGCATGAGAACAAATGGATATAAACTGGCATGAATAAACTTAAGTTGGAATTTACACAGTTTCTTCCTTAAATGGACTGAGGTTCTAGAACTACCTTCAAGTGGGATAAATGGAAGCAAGCTCCTTGGCTGGTTCTTGAGGATATACTGAGGAAGTCTGTATTGTGTGCTTGGCTGTGGCAGTAGGAAATGAGGCTTAGTGACTCAGGAAAAGCCTTTCCATATGTCTGAGTTAACATAGATTTTCTACACTAGAGCTTCTTATTTTTAAAATCTGACATTCAAAACTGGCATAAAAATGCTTGCTTTACAGTTTTTATTGCTGCACAGAAGGGGTTACTGTGTGCTTAGTGGCCACTTTCTGAAATATTTTGCATGTTAGTTCCCCCCCCCCCTCCAAAATAGTGTGTTGTCTAACAGCTGCATGTAATTGTGTGGAAAAAATCCTTTTTCTTTAAATCAGAACTGTGCAAAAGAAGACTGTATGTTTGTGCGTGCGAGCTGCTTGAGCTTACTAACCTGTAGGTTAAAAAATGAACTGCAGCAAACCTTTCCCTCCCTCCCCTTATAAGTAATGCATAAATCCTCTCAAGAAAGATAAAAAAGAAGTTCTTGGGGGGCTCTACAGCAGGCTTAGATGGTGTGAACTGAGACCAGTGTTCCAAGCTATGGTGTGTCTGGAAGACTGGAATAAATGAAGTTAAAGCAAATTTGAAAACAAGTCTAGTTGAGCTAGTTGTGCATGGGATTTGTCTCAATTTGCTGTCATGCAGAATAGCTGAATTATCTGGCATGGTGGTTGCAGTAGTTGAACTTGTATGAAGTCTGTAGTTGACTCTAAAAATATTTTGTGTGCAATGTGGAATACAACCAGCTGTGGATGCTGTATAATGGGTACTGTAACTGTCAGCAGTACCTGACTACTTCTCGGAGATGTACTAAGAACAGAAATGAAAGAGCTACTATTATGGGCCAAAATAAGGGTCTCTTGCCATCAGGAGGGATGAAGAGCTCTTGCAAGCTGACTTATACTTTAGGCTGATCTATTCCCTGCTGAAATCAAATGTGAGAAAATAATGGAGAGGTGAAAATGGGTACATTTGTGATGTGCTTTTTTGACTCTGTGACTCACATCCCTTTTGCAGGGAAAAGGAGACCTTGGGACATGTCTAGCTAATGCATGAGGCTGCAGTTCCTGTTCTTGCTCCTCCAAACCCTCTTCCTGAGCTTATGGGTGTTTTTTTTTTTTTATTTATAGCTTTCGTGTCTGACACTCTCTTTCCTTGTCTTATTATGGCTTTGTGCCGGCAGAAGAGTAATCCCTGCTGTCCCTAGAGAGTTAAGGAGCAGAGGGTTTTTTTGGGATGCTCTGTGTGGTGTCCTGCTTTCGTTTCCTAATTTTTTTCCCCTTTCTTCTTCAGCCAGCTCCCTTTTTAATTTGTTGCTTTCTGCAACATTTCTTTTTCTTTTTCTTTTTTTTTTTTCTTTCCATGGAAGCAGATGTCCAAGGAAAAAAAAAGAACTGGATGCCCTTATTGAAAACCTCCTCTCTAGATACTATCTGAACCTCTGTCCTCAACTTGGAGTTGCCAGAGTAAGGTGCAACCTTTCCCTGTTTCAAAATGTTTAGTGGTTTTTGGTTCCTAATGCATATCTGGTCTGTCTGCAGCCTCCTGGGACCTTGTTGAAGCCTCTGTGACCTTTGGCCAGGAGTGATGCTTGTCAGTGGGTCTGCTTCTGGCTGTCTAAGGAATTCCCTCTTCTGCTTGGCTCTTTCACGTGGTCACTCTTAGCTCTTGTGTGGCAGAGATGGTTAGTGATCCTGTATTTATGCCATTCATGATTTTCTAGGCCTCTGTCTTCCTCATCAAGTTGCTTTTTGAGCTGCCTGAAGAATTGCCTACTCAGATATTCTGGACTATGAGAAGCCTTTTTCAGGAGTTGATCCTAGTCCTACTTGTCATTTTAGGATGGGAGGATCAGGGCTGTACAGGTCAGGCATTTGCAATATGTAGGTGAGCTTTGGGGCTATACAGGGAAATAACCATATTTTATTTTCTTTCTTAGTAATGTGTAAGATTTGATTTGCTTTTGGAGATTTACTAGAGAGTTAATTTCTTGAATCTGTGAAACTGAAACATCAAGATGTTTCTTAGGAGCATGGTCAGTTTGGAATTCCACAGTCATATATAGACATGGTTGTTTCTTTCCCACGTACATCTTCTTACATTTCTTGTGTTTATTTGCATTAGCTTTCCTCTGGACCATTATTGACTCAATCTCCCAGAGTTGCCTGCAATTCCTCACATCCTGGCCTTTATACCACAATACATTTTTTTTTATCATCACACTTCCTCTATTCACTGCTCATCCCCCTTTCCTTGTCTCACATGAATGTGTTAAGCAGCCAAAGCCTGAGCGTATGTCTCTGCCAAACTTCATTGGTAACTTCAGTTCACTTCAAGAAGAGACAGTTTACTCTTACCTTTATCTTCCTTCTGTTTTTCAGTCATTTATCTCCCCGCATAGGACTTTTTCTTATTGCTGTCTGCCTCATTTCCCCAAGAAACCCTTCAGTTTTTTGGTAAGGGATATGGATGACATCCTTTTGGAAGTTCACGTAGATCAGGAGGAATGGGCGTACCTTGTCCATGTTTGGCACCTCTGAAGAACTCAGGGCATCTCTCAGTACAAACTGTACTGACTCTTGTACAACAGCCACCTTATCCAGGTGACAAATACTCTCCTTTTATCATTAGCATCAGTTAATTATTGTGCCAGTA